ATTTCGGTTGAAAGCTGAGCTTTCTTCTCGCGGTGTTTGCGCTACTTCAGAAAAGTACACTGTGGCTAAAGCTAAACACAATAACGCGACAGAAGAAAAAAACGTGTATAATTTTCGTTGGTTAATAAAGAGTTTATAACTCTACCACTACTTCTCAGGAAGGTGGGGTAGGCTTAATGGGGTTCTAAATTATTCAGCTTCTCCACCAAAAATGTTGCCCGAATCGGATAGAACACAGACGAGTGTTCTCGCTTCAAAGAAGTTCGACTTTCAATTTCATTTGTTGAGATTATACCCACAAGACTGCTCATATGAGACGACTCAGTGCGGAGACCACACATCAGGCACTCACAATGAGGTCGGTCGTGTCGGTCCTGTCGTGTTCTATCCACAGCCCCCGTAAGGGGGGAGACTGTAGGAGAAGAAAGGCTCGCATTTTTAGTAAAAAGCTGGTTCTTGTCTTCGTTCGAGTCGGTGATCATATTAAAAAAGACTTATATACCTGAGCGTACTACTTGGTTCCGCACTGAAGAACAAACACCTTGCCCGGGGAAAGGGGGCTTTTTAGGGGGCCTTACCCTTAGGGGCCCCCTTACCCCGTTTGAAATGGGTGGCCGGGTGTTCGCTTTTTTTTCTTGGGCCCCTTTTCAACAGTCGAAAACCGAGCACCCACAGAGGGGCTTGCTTAGTCGGCCTGAGCGGCCGGATTTGGATGGGGCTGCGATGGCCTTCACCCGAGGACACTCACCCCGGCGAACCTTCGAAACACTACACGCGGAGGAGTTGGGTACGCTATAGCGCATGCGCCCCGGACGCCGCGATGGCTCGGGAGGTGGCCTCATCGTGGGCCTAGGGGGTCGGTCTACGCCGTTTGTTTTGCGTGCGGCGCTACCTAGCACGTGGACATGAATTTTTCCTGCCGCCCCCCTGTTCCTGCAATGCAAATGCAAAGCGGAGCGACCAGAAAGGTGGCCGGCGTTGTATATTATGGTCCTCCGGACAAGGAGTTGATGATAAGTAAGTACTTATCAGAGTGCACCACTACAACTCGCGTTGGGCAGTTCCAGGCCTGAAAAACGGTTCACCCACTAGGCTACCACTTCCAGGCAAAGAAAAATGTCGACCAACATACTACGTTCTGTGCTCCTTGTTCCTCCTAGGACAAAGATTTGATCCTGCCGTACGCAAGACAAGAACCCGCTGGCTGCGGCTGGCGCCGTAACTTGTTATGGCCTTTCGCTAATGTGTGTTGCAGTTCTTACACATTCGTTGCAATATTAAATTTGGCAACGCAAGCCTGTCCGGCAAGATGAAAAAAAAAACTTGCAAGAGCAGTGCGGAGATCAACATAAAGGAAAGGGATCTGTAAAACACACATAACAAAACGAGGATCGTCTTTAGCTCTACCTGATCCAATCGTGGCGCTCGACATCACAGACCACGACCTTCTCGTCATGAAAATGAAAAAGCTAAACAATACATAGGAAGGATCCTGCGCAAAAATGGCGAAAAGAAATCATACTTGTCGAGGTGAAGCAGTCAACTCGGAGTTGTGGTTTTTTTTATTAGACAACAGGTTTTCGATTTTGCTACTTCGGTGAAAAAAGTGAAACTGCGGACGGTTGCGAAGGAGGTTGAAATTTCGCAGATCGGAATAGAAATTCGCAGATCGGCTTTTGACATTCGCAGATCGAGGCTTTGAAGTTCGAGATCGAGGCTTTGCAGTTCGACCTTCGGTTTTTTCGATCCCGGATGTGAGTTTTTCGGTCCTACCCAAAAATGCAAAAGAGCATTGCACTTTTGCAAAAATGCAATGTTTGAATTCTGAAAATGCAATGTTTCGGTAATGCTTTTTTTGAAAAAATAATAGCTGGTTTATGAGTGAGGTTTGGGTATTTTGTCCCTTCATACTGCCGCTCTGAAATAACAATAAGTACGTTGCTTTATTCATCAAAATACTTTTTCAGGTTACTACACTCGTGCTACGTTTTTGGTGAATTTTTGCTCCATATTAGCCTTAAAAGCGCTATACTCACGGAGTTTTTGAATCGCATTACCGATCGGAGATCATCAGCTATACTTGTACCACCATCGATCGCTCTACTTTCCGTATAGCAGTTTTGGCCCAAGAAGTTTTTAGTGTGTTGACCACTAACCGAGTGTATGATTAAGTAAATAGATTACGCAAGAACATCCTACTTCCAGGAAATCGTGCCTGAGAGGACATCAACACTTTTCCAATGGTTACGTCTCGTCGTGTATCAACTGCAAATATGTCTGGGTCTGGAAGATTCTGAGATTTGTAATGTACGTTTAGCATGGGGGATAATGTCTGTAATGCATGCCGTAGCATCACAGACTTTTCGAGGGCTTCGCGCTGCCTATTCCGCATGACATCAAATGCCCTAGATCTCCTGCGTCCGAAGCTGCTTGTGGCGACGGTGCAAAGGTTTTTGATGAGGTGCAGTCGGGTATGCATGACAATTGCGCTCTCCGCGTAGCCAAGGGTTGCATTCCCTTTGCATTTGCTGGTCATGCAATACAATTTTTTTTGGAATCCAAATGGAGCAGGACAAGTTCGGATTCTTCCAGACCCAGACGAGACATTTTTGCATTTGATATCGTGGATTGCCCTGCTGGGCGATTGCCGTGCTGGTCGCGGTACTAGGGGGAGCTGTCCTTATCGCTGTTGTTGTTACGACTGTGGTCATTGTCCTACAACGGGCAGGGCAGGCAAACGAAAACGAGGAACTACAAGTGTCATGGCCATGGGGGCAGAGGACAAGGCATAATGAAATCCCGACTGGCCGGAGGAATCATAATGAAGTCCCGACTGGCCCCCCAGCTGGACTTCGATTGTCATGGCCATGGGGGCAGAGGAGTCATAATGAAATCCCGACTGGCCCCCCACCTGCACCACCGCCGCGGCCAGCGCCTGGCCCCCAACCTGCACCACCGCCGCGGCCAGCGCCTGGCCCCCAACCACCTGCACCACCGCCGCGGCCAATAGTACCCCCGTTATCTGCAGACTCACAGCTCGTGATCCAGCATGCGGGGCTGAACGCGTTGTGCCAGTCGCCGGACGTGTTGGAGTGCAGGCAGTGGACGAGGACGCAACAAGGAGGCACGGCTACGGCTAGTCAAGAACATCAAGGCACAGCATCAACTGCTACGACAACGAACGCCCCAAGTTCCTCCGACTCGACTTTCTATGTGTCCGTCGACATGAAGAAGAATGTTGGCGCTTCTGCAAATAACGGCGCGGACGATGAAGATGGCTTCACCATTGAACTCGATCTTCCTGCTGGCGTGTTTTACGATGGACGTTATCCGGGTATACCCGCGTACCAGTCGGGCAAGTACATCGTGAGAAGCCGAAGATTGCGGCCCTCCTATGTCCGGCGCGACCCGGATCTGGCACAGTTCTCTCCCATTCGTTCCCAGCGCATGGGCTGGGCGGACGCAGAGCTTACGCTTCCCGGCGCGAGGACTAGTACGACGACCGGTTCTACTGCTGGTACTACTGGTGGAGCCATCGATAATAATGCGCCACCAGCAACGACAGCGCCACGACCAATAAATACGATCCCAATTTTCCTGAAATTTGACGAGCTCGACTTTCGCAACGATGACCGCGCCAAGGGTTTTCTGCACAACGCTGAAAAAATCTCGGATGTTTGCCACAGGGTAGCGCTGGGTCTTTCCCCGTTTCCAGCATTCCCAAGCCTAGAAAAGGAGTTTGGAAATTATAGTAGTAGCGCCACGACTTCTTCACAATGGCAGCCACATGCTGCAGGCGAACGCTTGAGGCGATTTTTCCGGATGCGGCCCGTTCCTGCTCCGACCGTCATCTCCGTAATCGGTGAGCCCGGCAAAGAGACCGGCTGTGGCTTTTTGACGATGTTGGAAAAGGCTGATAGTGACAACGAGTCCTCGCCGTCGCCGGCGTCACCAACTACAACGCCAGCCGCACCTGCTGGACGAGCAAGCAGCCCCGTTCTGGCTCGGCGGTCGATGCCCTTGAGCGACGTGCTGCGGCGAGTCAAGAGGGCCCGAGAAAGTAGTGCAGGCGGCGCCGCAACTACATTTCTGCAGCGGCGGGGGGCAGCAGCAGCAGCACCAGCAGCGGCTCGACCACCAGCGAACACAACTACTATGACACAAGCCTCGACTGCGGCAGATTTTGACGACGCCCTGCAGGCTCTCTTTACGGACACGTCGACTACCGACTTTGTGCAGCAACTGTACACGGAGCTGGTGCGAAACTTGCGGACAATGGACCGGTCGTATCCTGAGTAAAAACATCCCCACACCAGAGTCAAGACGGGGATTTTGCAACACAAACCTAGAACTTTTGGGGGTCACGCATCACAAGTTGCAGTCCGTAGTGTAGTGCGGGTTCGTGAGGCCAGCTGCATCAGAAATCCATCTGCTCATCCTGTTTACAGCATTACATACAAATTCCACAACACGATTGGAAATGGCTCCCATGCGGATGCGCATTACAGGTCTTCCTGTCTTTGCAAATCTGCATTACAACTCTGGTGTGGGTACGTTTTTACACAGGATAGGTCGGGTTTTTTATACATCGACGTGCACGGCTTGAATATCAAATGTAAAAATGTCTGGGTCTGGAAGAATGCAACTTGTCATGCTGTTTTTCGACTCTAAAAAAAATTGTATTGCATGACCAGCAAAATGGGTACAGTTTTTGCTACACAGACAGGCCATTTCTCATGCGGAAGGTGCATGAGGAAGCCCTCTAAAAGTCTGCGATGCTAGTTCAAGCATTACAGGCATCATGGGTCATGAGAAATATACATGACAAATCTTGCATTCTTCCAGACCCAGACATTTTTACTTTTGATATTGAACACCTTGGTGCACTTTGAGCTTGTAGAAGTAGCAGACTCCTCGCAGGAGCCCCCGGGGGCTCCACCTGTCGCGGCTCCCGTTGTACAACTGCGGTATGAACTGTCCCTGGTAGATTACAAAACCCTGTTGTACATGCGGTCTGCGCAGAAAAATTTTGGTGGGCGGGATGACAGCACGATTGGAGTCCTCAATAACACGAGCGGACGAGACACCAGGCTGCTGCACGAAGAACTTCTTTTCGAGGTGGCGAGGACAGCGCCAACGCATTCCACAGTAACCTCCAACCCGGCTGCACCTGATTTGCAGCCGCGGCCACAGACCTTACGAACCCTTTTCGCTTTGAGGAATTTACCAACCCAATGGGGTGGCACAGGTGGCCACATCAAGGACCTGTTTTTTGCCCTGCGCCTCAGTCGCCGCGATCCGAATAATGCAGGCCGATCCTGTCAAGCCTATGGTGACGAGCTGTATCCCTGGAACCAATACGACCCGGACGCGGTCCCAACGGGCCCGATGGCGGACGAGCCGGTTACGTACGACCTGACTAGTGGTATCTTGGAGGACAAAGCTTTCGGTTCCGCAATTATGGGCGAAGCGTTCAAGGACCTCATCACCTTTGAACAGAAAGAAGAGATCGAGATAGCCGTGCTAGAGGAAGACATTGCCGCCGGCGTCTACCAGAACATTCCAGCCGACGCGTATTACGCGGCCCCGGCGGGAGGACAGCTGCCTAGGGAGGAGATGGACCGGAACCGCATACGAGAGCGGAATAGCTGCCTAAGGGAGCGAAGAGACTGAGTAGCGAATGTGACCCACACGACCCATTGCGCGAATGTTGCCCGAACGATAGAACACAGACGAGGTCCGCTTCAAAGAAGTTCGACTTTCATTTGTTGAGATTGTACCCACAAGAGACTGCTCATATGAGACGACTCAGTGCGGAGACACATCAAGCACTCGTTGTATATTATGGTCCTCCGGACAAGGAGTTGATGATAAGTAAGTACTTATCAGAGTGCACTACAACTCGCGTTGTGCTTGTGCAGTTCCAGACATGAAAAACTGTTCACCCACTAGACTACAACTTCCAGGCAAAGAAAAATCTCGACCAGCATACTACGAAAAATGTGTTGCAGTTACTACACATGCGTTGCAAATTTGGCAACCCAAGCTTGTCCGGCAAGACAGAGAAAGAAAACTGGCAAGAGCCGCGCGGGGATCAACATAAGGGATTAAAACCCACTAATAAAGTATACGAGGATCGTCTTATTTAGCTCTACCTGATCCTGATGCAATCGTGGCGCTCGACATTACAGACCACGACCTTCTCGCGATGAAAATGAAAGAGTCAGCAAAATCGAAAAGGAAGGATCCCGACCTGTAGTAGTTGCACACCTGAAACAATGAATTTGAATCTTCATGTGCTTCTCCATAATAGTACTCGTCTCAGGCACGAGCACGACGGGAACGGTCCTGCGCAAAATTTTTGGCGAAAGAAAATCATACTTATCGAGGTGCAGTAGTCAACTTCTCGCACCGCCAAGCCTAGCGCGGACCTTGATCCGAGTCAGAAGTAGAGAATGGAGGTGATCAGCGAACGAGTAAAAAAAGATCAGAATGGACCGCCTGGTGGCATCGTGGTTCCAGCGAGAATGCTGGTGCTAGCAGTCTACGGACGATCATCGCATAACGATCATCGCATAGCGAAAAATTCTTCCTGCTACACACAAGAGCTTTTTGATGCTCAACATCTTCCTGCCGCTCTGAAATATAAACAATAAGTACGTTGCTTTCATCAAAATACTTTTTCAGGTTACTACACTCGTGCTACGTTTTTGGTGAATTTTTGCTCCATATTAGCCTTAAAAGCGCTATACTCACGGAGTTTTTGAATCGCATTACCGATCGGAGATCATCAGCTATACTTGTACCACCATCGATCGCTCTACTTTCCGTATAGCAGTTTTGGCCCAAGAAGTTTTTAGTGTGTTGACCACTAACCGAGTGTATGATTAAGTAAATAGATGACGCTATGGATGTGTCAGAGTTGAAATCGACAAAGTTGAAATAATTTGTCATGCATAAAATGGATGCCAGTTGGAGCCCAGTTTTCAAGTGGCGCATGACAAATTTCGGTGGTCCCTAAATCCAGTTTGTCATGCTATTTAGGCAAAGAAGAGCGATTTTCTCATGCTACTTTAGCAGCTCGAGCTGTAACCCCAAACAGGCTTACAATCGGCCTCACTTGCCTGCTCTGCAACGCACGTACCTCGGGTCATGCATTTTATGCATTACAGATTATTTCAACTTTGACGATTTCAAACCTGACGCTTCCATATACGCAAGAACATCCTACTTCCAGGAAATCGCGCCTGAGAGGACATCAACACTTTTCCAATGGTTACGTCTCGTCGTGTATCAACTGCAAATATGTCTGGGTCTGGAAGATTCTGAGATTTGTAATGCACGTTTAGCATGGGCCATAATGTCTGTAATGCATGCCGTAGCATCACAGACTTTTCGAGGGCTTCGCGCTGCCTATTCCGCATGACATCAAATGCCCTAGATCTCCTGCGTCCGAAGCTGCTTGTGGCGACGGTGCAAAGGTTTTTGATGAGGTGCAGTCGGGTATGCATGACAATTGCGCTCTCCGCGTAGCCAAGGGTTGCAT